TTCAACCAATGCCAGGTTACCAGCAGTGCAGCTGCCGTCCCCCACAAGTAAGAAACTCAGCATAAACTTTACGTTAATCTCTTTTTCACTTAGTTTGGATGTTTTATTTTCTGCTTTGTAGAGTGGCCATTCTTGTTTTATTCGAAACAAAATGGAGAAATAAGGCAAGATACTGTGAAAGTTACTTCAGTAAAGCCCAGCCTGTTCCCTGCTTAGATACTGAGCTCCCTGATTTCATTAGGAGGTATACGGAGTTCACGATTGTCTAAGTATATATGGAAGAGTCCTCACGTATTACTTACTGGGAGCATTGTCTAAGCTAAGACACACAGAATTTGGTCATTAAATATAATAAAGCAATCAGACCCTCTTACCCTTGAAGCTACAATGATCCTGTCTCCTAAATCAGTCTAGTTTTAGTACTTGGCAATATTTCTAAACCAAGAGGTTGTGGTCACTTTTTTTCAGTGTTAGATGTATATGTGTATGTTATGTACCTTCAGGGATAGTGCTGGCAAGGTGTATGGTTTCTTTGAGATGATTACTACTTAAACTGTGAAAATGGAGGAAACTTTAATTGTTTTAGGACAATAAAATGTTTAAGTAGAATGAGATCATGAGCTCAACAGAAGAGGTGTCAGAGATTTCCATTAAACCTAAAAGTGTACGTTGTTAGCTACATTATTTAGATATTTAGAAATAGAAGTTGAAGAAGGCATAAAAGGCAAATAAAACAGATAAATTGCATCACAACCTAATCTCAAATGAAAATTTTCCTGGCTCTTAAAAAAAAGTATCTGAGGAGTTGCAATGTAAGTCAATGTTGACAGACGGTAGGAGTAATTTTAAAATGATCTAAAGAAGTGTGTAGGCAAGAGGAAGGAAAATTAAAGGAGGAAAATATCTACATTAAGCACAGTTGTACTGTAAAATGTGGTGGCAAAAGAGTGCATCAAGATCCCACCTATGTTTCTGTAGCACTTCTCAGATCCACTCTGATATGTCTCTGCTCTTGTGAGACCCCACCTCGAATACTGCGTCCAGTTCTGGTGTCCCCACCATAAGAGGGACGTGGATCTGTTGGAATGAGACCAGAGGAGCCCACAAAGATAATCCAGGGGCTGGAGCACCTCTACTACGAGGACAGGCTGCGGGAGCTGGGATTTTTCAGTCTCAAAAAGAGAAGACTCTGGGGGCACCTTATAACTGCCTGCCAATACCCGAAAGGAACCCACAGAAAGGCTGAGGAGGGACTTTTTACATGAGTGCCCAGTGATAGGACAAGGGGAAATGGATTTACATTGAAAGAGAGTAAGTTTAGATTGGATCTTAGGAAGAAATTCTTCAGTACAAGAGTGGCAAGGCTCTAGAATAGATTGCCCAGTGAGACTGTGGATACCCTCTCCCTGGAGATATTAAAGGCCAGGTTGGATGAGGCCTTGAGCCATCTAGTCTAGTTAAGGGCATCCGTACCCATGGCAGGGGGGGTGGATTAGATGATGTCTAAGATCCCTTCCAGCCTAGGCCATTCTGTGATTCTATGTCAAAAGTACAATGTTTGTTTTCTGCCAGCTCTGCAAGTACAACCCCTAGCCTAAAAAGTCACCTGGATTCTTTCTGGCTTTGATATTGCCAGTTATGAAGATTCCATTTGGAGATCAGCTAACTCTTCTGCTGATGGCATGTGAGCTAGGAAAGAGTCCAGCTCACTGGTAGAGAACTGTATTAGTTCTGCAAATCCAGCAAGAGTAAAAGTACTAAACACATATTACTTCTACAGCAACAGAAGCAGAGCCTGGGAAAAGCAGATAAAAAGTAATTTTCACATGGTCATTTGAGCAGGGAATAAAAGCAAATGTACCAGCGGCATTCCAGGTGAAAGATAGCATATATACAGTAGCAAAAAGCTCTAAGTCTTTGGTTTTCTAGTAGTTCCCCAACAATTCTGTCTATGCAGTGTTTAGAGGCACTGAATTTTACAGGTCACTAAACAAGATTGAATGTTATCTATGTTGGCCAACAAGCTAGAAGAGTGCTTTGATATTAGAAAGGAAGGTCTAAACTGGATTGAAGCATGGGGAGGGACAAGAACTTTTTATGTGGTAATACTTGAAGGATTGCAGGTTATCTTGTTCAACTGAGTCCTTCCTATGTTAATAGGCATGTGGCAGGACAACAGAGATTGAGATTACGGTTCTGTGGTAAATGGAATTTCTAGTATGGATATCACTTTCCTATTACTAACAATTTATATCTACTATTACAATTTTTAAAACATTTTTCTTGAAATTTATTTACAAAGCAGTGTAGATCACAACACCACACTGAAAGTGAGAGACTGCAGTAGGTACAGCAACACTGAGTATAAGGTGGCTTCAGAGCACAAGTAGGACCTTTGGTAAGGTTCGGCAGCAAGCAAATGTGTTTTTTCCCCGCTCCCCTGAATACACAAAGGTCATACTTAGCTCCATCCTGCAGCTGAAGAGGTTTTGACCAGCCCTTCCCAGTGGACAAAGGCTCCTCTCTGAGTTCAGTTGCAGGTAGAAAAAGAGAGAGCAGTTGTCTAAGCTATCATTTAACGGAGTAAGTGCTATCCACCAGTGCAGGAGATGGCTTCTTAATCTGTCCCTTTCCTCTTTCTTTGCACAAACATGGAGGAATCAAGTGGCCCTTAGCTTGTTCTGCCTTATCTTTGTTTCTGGACTGTTATTTTCTGCAAGTCATTCAGTTCTTATTAACTGTGGCTTGTGATCCCACACTTACCCTTATATGAAGTATAATAAATAGTCTCTGAGAAGTAAACAGCTCTCAGTTGGTCTTGTACAGTGAGTACAAAATGTCCACAAGCATTCAGAGGCAAGTACAAACTCTCAGTTTATGTTATTATTTATAATTTTTCTTTTTATTTGTATGTAAAATATCAATGAAGAGGACTTCATTTTTTAATACAACATTGAATGGTTAGTTTCAGTTGCCTTGTAGCTTACTAATGCTGACAGTTTTACAATAAACACTCTGACATTTTCTTGCAGGCAGACAGTGGAACGTGTGACATTACAGAACCAACTCCAGCAGCTTTTAGAAGCTCAGCGGTCAGAGGGCAAGTCACTGCCCACATCCCCAAGGTAAGGTGACTGGAATTGTGCTGCAGCCTGGATTTGCACAGTTTCGTGGTGCATTGGTTATCAAAAGAAGCTGTGACATGTCTAAATAGTAGATGTGTTCTGTAAAGTATGGCGTTTTTTACCTCGTGGACTTGAAGCTGAGCTTCTAGAGTTTGACAGTGTTTAATGTTGTATAAATACTGAAAATTTTGAGTATGATGTGAATAGTCACTATTTCCCAAGAAAGTGAAAATCAGATTCATAGTGGAACAGAACGTATTTTATATTGGATAAATAGCAGAGGATTCTAGAAACCCCTAGGGAAGTTGTAATCATAGAATCACAGAATGTTAGGATTTGGAAGGGACCTCAAAAGATCATCTAGTTCAACCTCCCTGCCAAAGCAGGATCACCTACAGTAGGTCACACAGGAACGTGTCCAGGCAGGGTATTTGACCTGGTGATGGTCTACCATACATTACTGCCAGCAGTAATTCATAACCACTTACCAACAAAACCAGCTTTCAGATTAATAAGACTGCTTACACTCATTAAATCAGTTGTCTGCAGTAGCTTATATAAAAAGTCAAAACTCCAGATATTTTATCTATTTATGTGTTACATTATTTGCCATAGACTTCCAGTGTGATGCGTGGAAGTCAAACAAGCATGACTCCTCTCCAGTAGCAATATGAAGAAGATTTTTTAAGAAATTAAGTAACTCACATGCCAGTAGGATCTGTTTTTTATCATTGCCTGATCTAGTCAAGAGGTGGCGTCCTTGGCCATGACAGGGAGGTTGGATTAAATGATCTCTAAGGTCCCTTCCAGCCTAGGCCATTTTATGATTCTATGATTCGATGATTACCTTGCAATTCAGTTTCCTCTCTGGAAGACATATACTGATCTCTTGTTATGGAGCTACATATATGTCAAAATGTAAATCCAACTTAAAAGTTTATGCAGGCATTGATGATCAGAGCTTCAGGTCATCAAGTATAAACTTGACTGGTGACTTTTTTTTCCATTCTCACAGAATCTCAAGCGTTTTTCTGGACAAGTGCTCCATGTCTATGAATTTCATGTGTCAGTGTTTCAGTCAAGTGCAGGAAGTTGCAGACTTAGATAACAAAGACATTGGTAGTGGACATGCATTTGTGTAAAGGAATTTAAAATTCTGTCTTACAGATGGCTACTACTTTTCCTTCCAGCTAATACTTACTTGTGGATATTTTCATCATCCTGCATGCAGCCAGCAGCAAATCTAAGAGAACCTATCTCTTTTACTAGGAATACATAGTGTAGATACATGCATATTCTTCAGTGTCTGTTTTGGTTTGCCATGGGAGAAAAAGTGCAAAATGAATTGAAGATGAGGTGGCATTTGAATTTTGTACACTGTGAGAACTATGGACTCACCAGAGGAGAAGGTGCTTATGGAAAAACAAGTGGAATTTATGAATTCACTGTCTCATGCTAACGTTAATATTGTGGCCTACCCTTGCTTGGAGGATAGGAGGTTTGAAGTAAGACTGGAGTATTATGACCTCTGACATATGTCACAGGGAAGGAAATGGTCTCTGTAATTGACATTCTTTGCAGACTAGACTTACTTAGGATTGCTGTTTCCTCACTATATAACATTTGGAGTTCTAAATTTAATTTAATATTCTAATAGTATTGAAATAAATTCATGTCACCTTTCTCATGCTTTTCAGTATTTCATATCTGAAAAGGTTTTGAGTGCAAATGGCTGTGACTTTTTATAAGGTCTTGTATGGCTATTATTAATACCAGATGAAGTTCAGATTTATGAAATCATTGCTATGCAGAAAGCTGATACTTTCACAGTATTTAGAATAAGCTACTTTTGTATTATGGTGTGACTTGGATAGCAGGCGTTTGGCCTTGTGGGGTTTTTTTGCCTTTTAAAATGTGTCAACTCCCACAAATAGGAAATAGTTTCTCTAAAGTTTTTCTCAAAAAGTGATCTTTGGTATTGAAATAACCACTCTTAAGTTTTGATGTCAAGGAAGGAGTTTTTTTGTACGACAAAGTGAAGAGACTCAAATCCTAACTAGGAGTGGAAGCAGGGTTACATCCTTCTCTGTGTAATCCTCACTGTGGTATAATAGTAATGAATTCCATGTGAGTTGTGATAAAGAGGATAAGTAACAATAAGCTGAGACAGACACATACACTGGAAATGGCAGTTTCACATTTTATATGTGCATTAATTTGGCTGTAGTATTTCCTTCTATTTTTTTTTCTTTAAGCTTGCCATCATCTCCCGCTTCTGGCAAACCCCAGTGGAAACCATCTGAAGCAGATGAATTGTCTCCACCAAAAAGTAAATTGAACACCCAAGATGGGATTCAGATTCTTGGCAGCTTAGGAACTTCTAGTCGCACTCGAGCCAAGATAAAAGATGAGGACTCAGATAAAATCTTGCGCCAATTATTGGGGAAGGAAATCTCTGAAAACGTCTGCATGCAGGAAAAGCTGACTTTGGAATTTCAGGATGCTCATGCATCGTCCAAGAACGTGAGGAAGATTTTGCCAGAGAAAAGGGAGCTGAAGTTAGCCAGACTGAGGCAACTGATGCAGAGGTCGCTCAGCGAGTCTGACACAGACTGTGCTAATTCTGAGGACCACAAGAACACCCCTGTGAAAAGAACTGACAAACCAAGGCCTCAGCCCATTGTGGAGAGTGTTGAGGGCACAGAGAGTTTGCACCTGATGATTAAGAAGCACACCTCCACAGCAGGACGCCGCTTCCCTTTTGGTATCAGGGTCTCTAAGTCTGTGGATGGTCACAGCCCTTCCCCTACTTCGGAGAGCAGCGATCCCGATAATGACGCCCCGTATCAGTCTGGTACCGTACCTCAGAGCCAGTTTTGTGGAGACAACTCTCCGTCCAGCACGGACAGTGCCTCTGCTCAGAAAGTTGCCACCAGCCCTAAGAGTGCTCTCAAGTCTCCATCTTCAAAGCGCAGAACCTCCCAAAATTTGAAACTCCGAGTAACTTTTGAGGAGCCTGTAGTGCAGGTGGAGCTAGCAGAGTCAGAACTAAATGAGGAAAAAGATAAAGACCGGGGCAAAGGACTCGTGCGGGCTTCACTCGCTTCTGGGGATACAGCAGGGGACCATCTGAAAAGACCTTTTGGAACCTTTCGGTCCATAATGGAGACCCTGAGTGGCAACCAAAATAACAACAACAACTGTCAAACAGCAAACCTGATCAAAACCTCATCAACTCTGCCTTTTACCTCATTAGGAAGGAAGACAACAGACAGCAAGGGAAGTCCAGCAGCTGTCATAAAAGGAAGGAACAAGCCAGTGAGTGCACTGAAAGGAAGAAAGGCCTTTTTCTCTCTTATCTCTTTAAGTAATGAATAAGTTTGACAGCTTCTTCTTCCTGTCTTTCTGTGCAAACGGATGCTCACAAATACTTTACTTCATTTGACCTGTAGAAAGCCTATCCATTGTTTTAATTTGGGAAGGCTTTTGCAAGGAGTGGCAGGTGTATTGGTTATGTACAGAGTGTGTAGTCTTAACGGACATGGTTTACCATGTTCTGTGTTGAAGGCTGTCCACAGAAACGTGATTCACCTGGAAATGATGTTTGATGTTTCTCTGAGTGACCGGTCATACAATGAGAATGTCACACTTGAATCTATGGGATAAACAGTGGAAGGACTAGCTCTGTCCTATCCTATAGCCAAGACGGATGAGGCCAACAGGGTAAAAAAACCTGGTAGAATATAAAGAGGAAAAACAGCAGAAATCCTGCTTCTGTGGGAGCTACAGCCATCCCTTAGATATTGAAGCTGTCCATACACAGGCTTCTTTGCCCACTCTCTTCTTGTAACACAGAGTCTCTCATGGTGAAGTATATGGTTGGTCTGTAGCAAAATGTGCTGGTTCCAGATTATCCCCTCCATGCAGTCAACAGAGTGCCCTTTCTGGGATTCCCACAGAAAGAGGAGTGTCTCCAGTGAGGAGGCTGGTTCTTTTTTTTTTTTTCAGAAGAAAGGAGAAAATACTTTGAACAAATGTATATTCCGAGAGAAAGGAAGAGGTTACTGAATGAAGAGACAGAGGTAGGAAGTACTGTGAGTGCAGTGTATTTGTGGAGCAGAGAGAATTGCGAGCATCTGGAGATACAATAAAGAGTTGAGTAAGAGGGACTGGTAGATTATTTAATCCTCTGTGAAAGGCAGAGTGGGAGGAAAGGGGTGGATGGAAAAACATGAAGTGAAAGAATAATTTCAAGATGAAAAAAAAAGAACATAAAGCAGGCCAAGAGGAGGAGGAGAAGTAGTGAATTATATACTGTAAAAAGTATGACAGGGTAATGGGAGAAAAACAGAGGAAAATCTTAGGCATAGAGGAGGCAAAATGAGTATGGAAAAGAAACAGTGGAAAGAGAGAACTGGGAAGCAGTGAGCAATCCGTATTAGTGGGTGATGCTAGATCAGTAGTGCTATAGCAGAAAGTGAAATTAAATGAAAAATTCAAAGGAGACCTGATAGGTTAAATTGAAGTGGGACTGCATTTATTAAAGTTTACTCAGAATCGCAGTATGAACTACTGACTTGAGCCTTTAAAGACATGCACCATCTATTTCAACAGCCAGTTTAACGTAGTATTTTCATAACACAATGAAAATTTCTTTTGAAAAGAGCAATTCAGATTTTATACTGACAGAGGAAAAGACAGGGTGTCTTCAAAGGTGTTCTGACATACAGCAGGGTCATGAGCAGTTTTAATAATTCCATAAGAGTTGGATGAGGTCATCCTATCAGTATTGACACTTGTACTGTAAATGCATGTTGTCTGTGAAAAGGCCATATTTGCATGTTGTTGTTGTTGCCAACATCAAAATTGTGGAAGAATACATTTTCATACCAACTCAAAGGACCACAGCATACATCTCAAAGAGGTAACAGATTGAACCTCACCCAGAAACAAATCTGTTAAAATGTTCTTGTGGCTATTTGACTGTATGTTTTGCTAGACTTGCATGTTATGCATGTGGTAAGCTCAGTTGCATGTTTTTAACTGCTACAATGTTGTACTTCCTTAGGGTCCTTACTCCAGCTACAACAGTCTTTCCTCTGTCACGCTGAATGAAGAACTTCTGTTTAACTGTGCTTGGTATGTGCTTGTGCATGGTGATGTCTAGCATCTCATTTGCTTTGTTTTCTCAGATTGCGTGTGTTTGCTAACATTATTCATAACTGAAATACTGGAATTGATTGATGCGTAATAAGGGAAACAGATGAATAGATGAACAACTAAATTCCTAGAAAAGCAGAAATTTATGATGGATTTGTGCTGATGTCACCATTGAACTGGCTACAGGATTTCAGTTCCAAGCAAGTATAGAAATTATTAATAGTCCTAAATCCACCAGGGATTATAACGCACTTTGGCTGAGTATTCAGCCTCTGTTGAATAAAAGTCAAGTACCAGATGAGAATGGAAATTAAATTTCCTTTCTTGAGAAGAGCAAAAAGACCACAGTTCATCTCTAAATAGAAAGTACAGAGAATGTGATTGCTGTACTTTAAGTCTAATGCTCTCCTGTTTTCACACATTTTTCTTCCTCTTCCTCAGACTTTGAAGTTAAATCTGTTTTTTAAGAGTCTGATAACTTTGACTGTGAATAAACTCCTTGATTTAGACACATTCCATTTGGGCTGTTCAGGCAGATAGAGACCAGTCCCTCAAGGTCCATAAAGACATATTGGGAAAAACAACATTGATAAAGTATGTCTTTATTTTATGAGCAAATGCTTTGTAAAAACTACCTGTCATTTTTATTCAGCTCTTTAGCACTCCCAAATTCTTGTGATAATACATTTTTTTCTGTTAAACTGAGATATAAATCTTTTTGTTAGGCCTGGAAATTATTCCTATTCACAACAAATAATATGCATTTTCTGGGAAAATTACAAAGTAGTCATACTGCAGTTTGGGAACCTAAATTACTTTCAAGTTATTCTTTTCTAAATGGCTAGTACATTTTTTTGGTTTGCTTGTTTTCTAATGCCAGGACCTTGCCATACCTAGAAACTCAGTTTCTGTCATGGAGGTGGGAGTCTTGTTCTGAAGTCACTGACACAGTGTACATGAAACCAGAAACAGAATTGTAATGTTTCCAAGAGGTTTCATTCTCTCCTGAAGAAGGAAATTCCAATGCAGAAAAATGACTGCACAGGAGCAGTTTGAAGCAGCATCCATGGGCAGCCTCCAGTCAAAACACTCAGCTGCCTGTCCATACCCTGGAGTAATAGAAAACCGTCTCATCCTTATCTTTGAGCCGTCTCGGGATGTAGCTGGTTGTTGTAATTCCGTACTGCCTGGTGAAAGTGCTCTTGTGTGAGAAATCCCTGGCAGCATGGCATTTCCCCAGAAGCAGGAGAGTCAGGGAAGGTCTGGCTGCAACTGTGGAACTTCAGAGTCATCTGCTGGGAGGGTGAAGGTCGGGCCTGAATCCCTGACTGTCCACCCAGGCACTGCTGATCCAGGCACCATGTACTTTGGAAGCTGCCCCCGTGGCAGTGGGCCCATGGAAAAATAGAGAGGAGAAAGGAAGGAGCAGAATGCACGAGGGGCACAGCTTGAGGAGGCTGCTATTTTACCCATGGATAAGAACAGAAGTGGGCAAATTGTGTGCTGGAGTGCATGGCATGAAATTTCAAAAAAGTCAGCTAGGAACAGAAGATGTATAGCACTTTTCGGAAATCAGAATGCAGACCTAAGGGCTCTCTTCCAAGCCAGCCTTCTTAATGCCTTTAGGCCTGTTGTGATTTTTTGGACAGCAAAATGGGTGCCTGCCATGTGTTCACTGTACGCTGCACTGTAGCCCGTGAAATATAAATAATCATAGAATCGTAGAATGGTTAAAGTTGGAAGGGACCTTGAAGATTGTCTAGTTCCAGTCCCCCTGCTGTGGGCAGGGACCCCTCTCTCCCACTGGACCAGGTTGTTCAAAGCCCCATCCAGCCTGGCCTTGAACACTTCAGGGATGGGACATCCGCAGCCTCCTTGGGCAACCCGTTCCAGTGAAGAATTTTTTGCTTATATCTAATCTAAATCTGCCCTTTTGCAGTTTCAGGCCACTGCCCCTTGTCCTGTCACTACAGGCCTGTGTAAAAAGCCCTTCTCCAGCTTTCCTGCAGGCCTCTTGCATGAGCTGAAAGGTGGCTGTTAGGTCCCCCTGGAGCCTTCTCTTCTCCAAGCTGAATAACCCCAGCTCCCTCAGCCTGTCCTCAGAGCAGAGGTTCTCCAGCCCTCTAATCATCTTCGTGGCCCTCCTCTGGACCCAAATGGGAAAACATCTCTAACACATGTACTACAAGCCTCTGGACACTCTCTGAAATTTCTCTTCATAGTTTGGAAAGACAGTGTAATTACTATTTCAGAGCTATATTGAAAAAGAACCTATATGGAAAATAGTGGAGTCTTTCATGTTATAAAACTTTGTAGATTGTTATGATGGGGGAGGGGGCCCGGTTAGCTCAGTGGTTTGAGCACAGTGCTGGCAACAAGGACAACGCCAAGGTCGCGGGTTCAATTCCCGCTCAGTCCCCATGTGTTGCCTGGTCTAATTGAGAGGTGACGTCCCTGCCCACGACAGGGAGGTTGGACTAGATGATTGCTAAGGTCCCTTCCAGCCTAGGCCATTCTATGATTCTATGATTCTATGATTCTGGACATAGTCCAAAGTCCATTTTAACTCCATACTTTTATACAGGGAATTTTAGCAGCATCTTCTCAAATCTGAAGTCATTAGACAAAGTCTACCTTCATTCATATGACATTCCTGCCCATCAGTTTCCATCTTCTTTTTTCAGCTTCTGTTTATTTTATTTGATCTACTTTTTCTTTCAAAATACCCCAGTACAGAAGGCTTTGTAATTTACTTTTTCAAATTGGCCACAGGTTAATCGTAGAGGATTGTATTACATTTTCTAGAGTCCTTATAAAATTTGATACACCCTGTTTTTCTTAAGGCCCTAGAGTAAATTCTGGATGTGCAGGTTGAGTTGGAATATTTCTTTCCCCTTCTGGAATGATTGGGTAGTTTCTGGTTTTACAACTCCAAGCAAATGCTTGTCATTTTTTCCATCTTACATGTATGCCAATGAATGGTTCTTTCCCACATATTAAATCATCTGAGATCTGCAGTACATTAAAGTAAGCACTAACTCACCATATCGGTATAAAGCCCTGTATTAACTATCAACAGCAAAAATTGCTCCATATGTCAGGAGCAATCAGCAGAACCTACCATCAGGTTTCTGTCAGATAGTAAACTGGGTGTGCTTCTAAAATAGTAAGTGGATCTAACCTAACAGATATCCCACTGCCAGAGCTAGTGCTGGATACATTACAACTCCAAATATAAACTCAAGAAAAGGATGCTTATCTGCATCTCTAATAAGATAGTTACAATTCAGACTAGTACAGTAAATAATAATATGGTAATGGAGTCATTTAGACCTTGTCCCCAACAATTTACAGTTCTTCTGTGAACTGCTACGATCATGCATCAGTACCTGTTTGCTTGACGGGCCTGTTGCGTGACACAGGCACCAGAAGATAGTACAAATTTGATTTGCAGATATCAGTAATACTTTTCCTTCAGGTGGCCAGGCACAGTTGTAGAAGGCACGTGTTCAGCACTGCCACCTAGAGACATCTGCGTTAGCTAAAAATGATCATCTTTGAGGTCACAGTGTGCCTATATTGCTGCAAAATGGAGTCCTTGGAGTGCCTAGTGAGCACTGCACGAAGGACTCACCCACAAGGTCTTTCAGCACTGCAAGGCTAAGCTAGTGCAGTAGTCAACTGATGCAAGTTATCTTAGCCTTGTACAACATCCTTTAGTAGAGCTCCGTGGTTAGTGCTAAACATGCTGTTGATAACGGCAATGCCAAAAAATAGTTATGGCAAAAATTAAGTGCCTCTCTTTTACCTCCTCAAACTGAGTTCTACAAACTCTACTTCCCCAAGCTTAATTCTCTGTCTTTTGTTCTTTCTTTGGATATGTGGCAGCACTAATTTAGATGAATGAATGGGGTTTTAGAATAGAATGATGCTTCGTGTCCTGTCATTAGACCCACAACTGTGGTCCCCGAGAAGTCTGGCTTCTGTTAAATCTGATGCTTATCTAAGCACCATAAGTATTGGTCTCTGGGAGGTAATTGGTTCTTTGTCATGATTGTAGGCTGGAATAAAGCTATACTGATTTACAAGAATCAGGCTCACAAATATGTGAGTTGAAGGCAAAGTTTTTATACCCATTCTCTTGCTCTTTGCTTTGGGTTTCTAACCTCCCATGAGTATCTGCCCTTTGCATCAACAAACCAGATAGTTGTGATTATAGGAGTTCTACTGTCCAATAGTAACAACTGAAAATGAGCCTTTTAACTTGTTCAAAAGTTGCTGTGGACTGGATACTTAATAAAAATCCTTCAGCTGAAAGGTTAATTAAAGAGAAGGGAACATACTGTGGATTCAGAGCAAGGACTTATGAAAGGAAGGGAAGAAACTTAGTGTTTCAAATATTTAGTGCTTATTTTTTCTACTTTAATTGGCAAGCTATCATTGGAGTCTCACATGCAATAGATAGATTTTTAAATTTTTTTTTTTAATTAAAGTTCACCTGGTGTGGAAATGAAGACATACTATGGGGAAATTGCCCTTATCTATGTATCTAATAAAATCTTAATGATCTGAATTCATATTTTACCTAAATTACAATGTTAAAAGAGATACAGGCCCTATGTCAGAAGGAGAATTACTCCTCATTTTTTCAATTGCCTTTGACACTATCAGACACATAGAGTAAGTCCAGTGAATCATCTTCTGAAAGTCCTTATTCTCTCTGGTGGTTATTAATGGAGACTAGGTGATCCCCTTATAGGCAGAGTGAGAAACATACAGAGTATGTCTGACCTTTGTTGTAGTGGATCTTTTTATTGGTACTTTTCCCTGAAGGATGAGGAATTTTGGGGCATTCTGTTCATTATTGCCAGAACGTTATGACAGTATACTAATTAATGCTATGACTTAAAAAGTCCAGTTCACCGCATTGGTTTCCAGTTCTGATTTTCAGGATAGAGTCTACAAGAAACTCACAGTATTAAAAAGTATTTCATGTAGTATATCTCTTCAGAAATAAGCCCATAGAGAGAGATTAATTCAAGTTCAACACTTACAAATGGAATAAAACCAGATAAACAAACATAAGGCAAATCCCACTATATTGTTAGAGTTACTGTGAGTAATTTTCTTCTTTTTCTCTCCAGGCATGATGACATCAATAGAAAAAGCTGCAAATCCAACAGTCAAAAGAATACTGAAGAGCCAGAGCTGCAGGAATTCTTCCTCTAAACCACATCTCATGATGTCTCACTTTGCAATATCGGAAATATATCCCTTTGAAACACTAATATGAGACATACCCCTCACCAGCAAAACAGCAGCTGTTAGGATGCCTTAATTTGTAGCAGTTAGACCATATACAAAACTTTTTTATGATATATGTGTATATGTAACTTGTTTGTAAGCTGTGCTGTATAAAGGCATGGGTGAGCAAAAGTAACAATTTGAAAATTTTTATGACACAGGCAACCTTCAAAATGTTTGTAGGGCCACAGAACACATTTTGTACTTTGTGTCTTGCATGGATATATTGTCATATATCTTTATTTCCCTTTGTCAATGGCATATACTGTCGAAGTTTCAGCCAGGACTCTGCCTGCTCAGCAACTCAGTGAGACCAAGGCAAAAGCATTGACTTCTTTGAGTATGTTTTGTCTGTTGTTATTTCTATTTTTTGTAAAAAGGAAATAAAGATGGTGTTAATAAGACATACGAGGTGTAGATTCTTACCATACTTCACCATTTCATCTTCTAAGTGTTTTATTGGTCTTTTTGATGTTTGATAATGAGACAATGTCCAGTACCAGGATTTCAGTTCAGTCAATCAGTTAATAATTGCTTTATTGTTTAGCAATATTTTATTTAGCAATAAAAAGAAAGCACAAATGTGGTTTTAAATTACCATTTATTGCTATTTGCCAAACACTGGCGATGTTCTTGGCTCTGTTCAGATTACCAAGTAATCTGTTAAGGCACAGTCCATATTCTGTCAAAGCTGTGATGTTCCTTCTATTCAATGTTCTCTGAACCTTTCAGAAAAAGTGCAATCTCTTACTGAATTCACTTTGATTCTGGTAAACTATGAGTACATTCTGCAAATGTGTCATACAGCATAATATTCAAAAGCAGGCTACTAGCCAATCTTTACTGGGCACATCTACTTGGATCAAATATGTATGTATATGTTTGCTTTATTTTTATTTTATTGAGCTATTTCCATTTGAAGACTGCCGCAGTTTGATGAGAAAGATCCAAATACATTAGCATTTATTTTACTGACTATTCTAATAGAACACGGGGAAGCCACAGAAAGTTTGTCAAAGAAATTTTTTATTACAAAGAAAATCATAGAATCATAGAGTGGTTTGGGTTGGAAGGAACCTTGAAAGATTATCTAGTTCCAACCTCCCTGCAGGGGGCAGTGACATAAAAAAAAATTATATTATGCAAATTCCTGCAATTGCAGAACAAATAGGTAAATAATGTGGACACTAAAGAGAATTTTTACTAAGTACAATGGAGTTTCTTTATATGCTGTTTGTCTTGCCTGTTTTGTGCTGCATTCATCTGGACCACTGGGGTTCTTTTCTGGTCAGTGAGAAGAGAGAGGGACTTCCTGAGTGTGATTCGTCCTTCTTATTATAAATATCTCGTTTTCAGGAGTATCAGTCCCTTCTTATTTACTACAGGGGAGACTGAAGTAGTAGAACTCTTGGAAGAGTTACGTAGTGTTTGGATGCCTCTAATTAAGTGAGATAAACATCTTTCTCTGGGTCAGTCTTCAGAGTGATGTCATGTTTGGCTGTACTGCCACCATAGACTAAGATGACTGAATGCCCCAGGCCCCCTGCTTACAGGCTTTGGATAAGCACAGAGTACTACAGGATAACATGGAGCCAACTGAGAGATCAGCAAAAAAACCCACAAATAGAAATAATAAAAGCATGCAATTAGAGAAATGAAATTCTCAGGTTTTTTCCACAGTTCTTATCTGTTACTTGGCAACACTTTGATTTTTGACCTAAAGTAATAAACCTAGCACTCTCTCTGACCTGGACTGTGTTATTTGAAGAAACAATCAAACTTCCAAAAATATCTGTGAGCTAGGAACAGCACTACCTCTAACTGGGCCCTCTTGTCATCTGTGTGTGTGCATGAAAAATCTCAATGCAAAGTGAAGAAGAGACACATGCGCTGCAATTGCCAGAGTGCTGAAAGAGAACATAAGAAGGAGAGATCCTGTGGCTGGTAGATGGGCTTAAAAAAAATTGGCAATTGGTGGTTTTGAGAGTGTGAAGGGTGTGGATTATGGACATGTGAACGGCAAAAGCAGCAATCCTTTTGACTGACTGGAGATGTATAAGGTCAGCCATAGCTATCTGTCGAATCTACTTGAAGCAGGGGATAAAACTGAACCTCTGTGAAAGGGTTTGAAGTAGAACAAGGTGTAAGTCTTTTCAAATCCTGGAAGAAAGAAATGGCCTGTCCTGGAGACTGAGGATTTAAAAGTCACCTGTTCTCTGCAGGGTAGCAATTTCTACAGAGTATATTCTCATACAGCACATGGTAAATCAAATTATGCAAGTGTCACAGGGCAAATGAGATTACTAAATGAGATAGGATTGGAATGCTAGAAGATGTTCAAGGTCTGTGGTTAAAGATATCCACTAGGTAATTGATGTTGTGCTGAAGATTTCCATCCCAGATAATTGGATAATGGAGTACAGCTGGGGAGGGCTGGGTGTTTCGAGTGAGAGTTACACGTGCTGTCCATATGGCTATCCATTGGAGCAGAAAGCAGTTTTAGGGCTAGCTAGTGCAGAAGAGAAGCCAGCTTGATGTAAGCATGAAAAGTGGTGTCTGGAGGGTTTTACCTCTGGAGAAGGTGAACTCATGTTGTATAAACTGTGGGTTTTATTGTTCCTAATTTGTAGTTTCTTTCCTACTTAGGGCCCCAAAGCCTACATGTGGTATGCTCTAATGTCATGCTTATTAGAGAAATGCTGATTCTGTGGTCTTCGGCTGGCTGAAGTGTGCGCTCTGCATATTTGTATCCTTAGTAGCTATAGAATCCAGGTGCCATAACTCCTTCTGTTTGGTTTATAATCCTCCAGGCAGATACCTCCTGGCATGAGTCTAAGCCGGGCTTCTGTCAGTAGAGCATAAGTATTTCCCAGAGGCAGAATTGCTGCTCAAGGGTTTTCCGACAACCAGCTTCAGAAAATACCAGTTAGCCAGAGCTGCACAAAACCCCTTTGAGTTATAACCTTTGACACACAGTGTCCTACTCTGTCTACTCAGAAATTTCTGATCAGAAAAAGGTAGTGGAATCGTTTGCTAGTGAAACATCATGTCTCCTAGTAAAACTGTATCTGTGGACAACACAAAGAATGGCTTTTCATGTTTTGTCACTCCCCAAGGATCCTAGAATCATAGAATCATGGAATGTGTTGGGCTGGAAGGGACCTTTAAAGGTCATCTAGTCCAACCCCCTGCAGTGAGCAGGGACATTTTAACTAGATCAGGGTTCTCATAGCCCCATAAAGGCTGAGTTTGTACATGTCTGGGGATGGAGCCTCAACCACCTCTCTGCGCAACCTGTTCCAGTATTTCCAATTTCGTGTAACCTCTGGCTCTTCTCTTTTGAAGAGTGAAAATCATTTGCCAGGAGCCTGTTTTTTTCATGGTTGTATTTGAGATGGGCAGCATATTGGATAAAGCTGTAAGTATGGTACTTTATTTCATCAGCAGGATGGAGCTTTGTGCTCCATGAGTAATATTTATTTGCTTTTCAGTCTTATATTACAGGGCAAATACATTGGTTTATTAGGTTACTAATAAATAACAATAGTCATCATATCTGTTTTATGAAGGAGGTGAATAAAACAAGTCAGTTTAGATTTAATATTCATTTCACTGTTAACTGTCATTCAGAAAACTTTTCTTAGCATCAAGCTGACAGAAAAATCAATGGCATAACAAAATACAATTGGCAGCATAACTGTAAAAATAATACTCCAACATCCCTTTATTTATATAAAAATGGTAACTGTCTCAGAAATGTGTTCTCTGAGAGCTATTTGTTGCATTTTTCATCACCTACTGTCATGTCCCGCCCAGGAAGGAGGAACAGGTGACTTAGATTCCTAATTCTTCAGTGGAGTGGACAATGGTGAGACAAGTCTCAGGGTCCATACACAAACATTTATTAATTTCTCAAAGCGCATAGATCGGACTCACGATAATTGGTTAAGTTACAAGACACATTAGGGCAAGCAATATCCTATGATTTACTGATAACCAGGAAAAGACTAGGTATACAACAAACTACAGCAAGCTGCGTGTTGCTTGATGGTAACAAGGAAAAAGGACATATAACAACTTAAAACTGGCAGTATTATACTTAACGATTACAAGAAAAAACTAAGTATAAACAAAGCAAGGCCAGGTTGCTGCACTGGTCCTGCCAACGAGGATCTCTACTTCTCCTCCTGTATTTCTTCTTCTTGTTGTTGTCTTCATCTCTGTCTACATGCTTCTGCGTCTGGCTTCTTCTCTGTCTCCTGTCTAACTCTTTGCTTTATCCCATTTCAATTTATACACATTTTTCTACATGTGGACTTGCAGCATACCAGAGAGGGGATCAAGGCACTTCATTGTTTAGATAATCCTCATTAACATGTGTGATTGCTCTATCTCCTTGGGAGATACCTAGGAGACAAGGCCATCCTGCCTTTGCAAGACTCCTGATCTTATGAATATTCAGGACAAGGCTGTTGGAAGCATCTGTTTCCTGCTTAGCCGTACCAGATGCCTCTACCACATTCCATTTGGCACTTACCAGTTTGCCACACAGAGCCAGAAACTGGTCTTATTTTTGTCCAAGAAATGTTTAAGGCAAATATTCGTGCGTCTGTCCTCTACACCTACCATTACAGTGATGTTGGAAAATGACCATGCAACACAGTCAAAAGTAAAGTAAAAATGTCAGCACATTATATGCTACATATGAATTAACAGATTAGTGAATGGGTCTCATGGTGAGATAGCTTTTATCTGTGTGTAGACTAAGATTCAGCTCTTTATTCAGTACACTTGAAATATTTCTTAGCATTTTAAAAACTTACTTGATGAAAATTTAACAGAAAGATCTGAAAAATGTAGTCCCTGCATTTGTAGCATCAAACTACAAGGCTTAATTATCTATCATGAAATGATTTCTCAATGATGTAACAGGAATAATTTCTCAAATAATATTGCAAATCCTATTCTAATTTCAGAAGTGTCTTCCTAACTGAATATCAGC